TATATGTGTGTGTGTATATATATGTGTGTATATATATGTGTGTGTGTATATATGTGTGTGTGTATATATGTGTGTGTGTGTATATATATGTGTGTGTGTATATATATATGTGTGTGTATATATGTGTGTGTATATATATGTGTGTGTATATATATATGTGTGTGTATATATATGTGTGTATATATGTGTGTATCTATATGTGTGTATATGTGTGTGTGTATATATGTGTATATCTATGTGTGTGTATATATATGTGTGTGTGTATATATATGTGTATATATATATATGTGTGTATATATGTGTGTGTATATATATATGTGTGTGTATATGTGTGTGTATATATATATGTGTATATATATATGTGTGTGTATATATATGTGTGTGTATATATATATACGTGTGTATATATATGTGTGTGTGTGTATATATATGTGTGTGTGTATATATGTGTGTGTATATATATGTGTGTGTGTATATATATGTGTGTGTATATATATGTGTGTGTGTATATATATATATGTATATATGTATACATATACATATATATATGTATATATATGTATATATGTATACATATACATATATATATATGTATATATATACGCATATACTCTACAGTGAAAATCAGAATGGGAGGTCCTGGCCACAGTGTTGACAAATGATCAGTAGGCAAAAAGCCCAGGAAAATACTGAATAGAGACTTCACACAGAATATCCAAATGGCTAATGAACATAGTAAGCAAGTCAGAGACATGCACATTGCCTACCCAAATGACTAGAATGATGCTGTGCCCACTGGAATCGCCGGAGTGTTCCCTGGTCTAGGAACCCCTAGTGCGGACAGAGGCACAGGAAGCAGCACTCTCCTGTGCTGCTGCAGTGAGGGTCCACTGTCAAGACCTTGTGGCAAGACTTAAGAGATGAACACAAGGTCTCATCAGGCCCACAATTCCATGTATGTGCAACAGAAACCTGTCCTACGTTAGAAGGCGATGTGCACAATATTCATGGCACTATAGGTACAGCACAACTGAAAACCACTTAGCAGGAAGTCATTTGTGATATAATAATTCCCACAATGCAGTGAGTTTACATCAGAGAGAAATGAATATATTATGAATCTCACCATGATTAAAAGATGCCTGATGGAAAAGATTCATCTATAAAGCATAAGGACAGATTAGACCCTATGGGGGAGGCTTTTTCACGGCAATTCTTTGAGATACAGATCAACGTAGAAAATCCACCCCTTTAATGTATACAATTCAAAGGTTTCAGTGTATCTATAAGCTCACACAGCCATTGTTAACTCCAGAACATTCTCCCCGCCCCTGAAGAAGCTGTTCCTATGAGTAGTTACTTCCTAATGCCAAGAGTACTTCTGACGCCCACTTAGGAATCTCCTCTCCTTAAGCTTATGCTGTCTTACTGGAGAGGCTAAAAATGGGACAGGGGGCATTTTGGGTCATGTAACTCTTTCTGTGGGTCGTCAGTCTGTGCGTTCTACGAAGCTTAGAATGAGGATCTTAGTGGCATCCTTGCCACTAGACCCCAGTAGCAACCCTACCTTTCCGACTCCCTAGGAAGTGACTATCACTCTCACGTCTCCAGGGGGAACAAACCGGAGGCCAGTAAGGTCTGATTACCCCCACGAGAAAACTGGTTGCTGTCCTTCATGCTTGAGTAGGCTCATGCCAATGATCCTGAGTCTGAGAGTAAATATTTAATTGGAGCTAAAAAAAAACCAAACCAAACCAAAACAACAAAACCAAAACCCAGAGCAGTGTGGTGATGCACTCCTTTAATCCCAGTACTTGGGAGGCAGAGGCAAGCAGATCTCTGAGTTTGAGGCTAGCCTGGTCTACAAAGTGAGTTTCAGGACAGCCAGGGCTACACAGTGAAACCCTGTCTCAAACAAACAAAAAACCCAAAACAAAACAAAACCCCGTTATCATATCTGTTATTCTTAATATATATGGGTATATGTATTTCTTTTTGTTTGTTTTTTTGAGGCAGGGTTTCTCTGTGTAGCCTTGGCTGTCCTGGATTGGCTTTGTAGACCAGGGTAGCCTCAAACTCAGATAATCCACCTGCCTCTACCTCTTGAGTTCTGGAATTATAGTTCGAGCCACCTCGCCCGGCTGCTAGTCTTACTATATTTACATATTATCAAAAGCAAAGGTAACACTGGGATCCATGAGAACATTCTCTTCCATGAAATGATGATTGACTTAAGTAATACCAAGGTAGGCTAAATCATATTTTTAGGGATCAATTTAAGAAAGTCACCATGATGCCAGAAGCCCGAAGCCTACGAAGAGATCCTCATTAATAACAAAACCTTTACACAGTCACACCAGTACTTATCTTAACTGTGACATAACCAGATGCTGTTTTGTCCATGTCAAGTGTCAAGTGCCTATGTGCACACCCCTTCTACAGCTCATATTTCCTTTTTTTTTTTTTTTTTTTTTTAAAAAAAAGCTATATACCCCCATTCTAGTTGGGATCAATATAGTCCAAAAGTGCAAAGGGAACAGGTTACCGAAGAACATCGGAAATACCATATTTAGCACTAAAAGTGCTAGGTTTGAGTTGTATTGACAGTAGCTAAGAGATTACCTAGTTCACTGGAATTCCAGCTTTCACACACAACATGAAAGCAAGATGGCAACTGATGTGTTCTATTAAGAGAGAGTATACAGGAAGACAAGTTATAACCTATAAAGAAATTCCTAAGAATTTTGTTATTTTCACAAACTTACCTCAATCAATTTGCTCAAGTCAGAATCATCCTTGAGCAGTTGTTTTGCATAAACAACTGATAGTTTGATGTTTGTATTAATCCTTTCCACCTCATTGAAAGCCAGAAGCTGAGAAGGCAATGTATTCTGGGATGTATCTTCAGGATGCGATGAGGCACTCAACAGAAGCCCATAGATGACCTGCCGGATGGGCTGAGATACCCTGTGGGCGTTTGGTCGCTGCATATTTTCTACCTGCGTTTGAAGAAAGGTCCTTCGGAGCACCGAGGCATCACTGATGAAGGGTGCTAGCTGGCCTCTGGCTAAAGCCGCTAGTACCCACTCGGGCAAACCCAGATTCAGAGTGTCTGGACGGATGTAAGCACTGCAGCGGAAGAAGTCCTGTAGCGCCACCTGGGACTGCTGGTACTCCTCCATGGAAGAGCAGACAAGGTCCTTGACATGCTTGCGGTCCTTTTTGGGGAGATACTTCAGAACATTATCCAGAGCTTCATTGGGGCCATCAAAATGAGACAGCCAGTTCAGAAGTCCCAGAACTCGGTGGTATCTCCTCCCCTTGGAAGTAAGGGGAAGGCATACTTTACTTATGAATGTCTCCATGATGGGTAGATTAACATGGTCATTTCCACATAGCACCGCAAAGAGAGGCAACAGAGCTTTGTTCATGTTGTTGAAGTAATGGCAGAATGCGTCAAGGGAGAAGCATCTGGCAGGAATATAGTAATCTTGTGTATCCTTAATGGTGTTCAGGTTTTTCCACTGAAAGCTATTCAGTGAGCAAAACCCACTTTTCAGGTCAAAAATGCAAAAGTCACTATCTGATGATAGCACGGGACAATTCCAATGATTGGCAAGTGTCATAATGTCCCGATCTGCTTCTGAAAAGCTCTGGACAAACTGTACCTTAAGCCTGATCAAAACCTGTATGAACACTTCTCGAATGAGTAAGGGACAGACATTCCCACCCCCGCCAATGGAAAGGGAATGGGCAGCTTGGATCTTCTCTCTAGCTCGATCCTTCAAAGTTGTAAGTTTTTTATCTGAAATGTCACATCCTCCATCTAAGACAACATATGGACAAATATGACAAGCAAACAGTGATTCAAAGAATTTCTGTACAACATCTGCAAACGAATCATAGTCTCCTCCATACCTGAGCTCCAAGTTTGAATTGAAGCAAAGTCGGTGGAAAAGAGAATAGCCATCAATGATAAGTTTTGTGTTCCGTAATTTCAAATCAGTGAAGAATTCATTGCTATACTCTTCCACGAAACTCATTAGTCCCCGGATACCCATGATGACCGACAAAACTCCCTGTTGAAGCAAAAAAACAAACAAACAAACAAAAAACCTATTTCAATTCATGGTCCTTCTGATGGCTATTCCTGTCAATCTGACTGTACCTGGAATCAACCAAGACCCAGGCTGCTGGGTATACCAGTGAGGGACTTTTCTTGATTGGATCATTGGAGGTGGAAGACCCACCCTAAATCTAGCCACAACTTCTGGTGGCAGCCTATATAAAAGATAAATAAAGGAGCTCTTGCTCTTTGCCAGCTTGCTAACTCTGACTAGCTCATTCCTCCATGGCATTAGAGCCTACTTCGTATTATGATGAGCAGCTGAGACATCCAACCTATTGGATCAAACGACTGGTAGATTTATGGACTCTCTGTTGGGAGACAGCCATTGTTGGAACAACTGGACCACTGACTTTATGCCACTCTAATAAATCCTGTGTGTGTACAGATTTCTACTATTCTGTTTCTCTAGAGAATCCTAATACAGTGCTTATCGGGGCACCAAATCATTGCTTCAATAGAAAAGGAGACATGCTCTTTAAACAGACTATACTGGGTGTCAATAGACCTAACTGAGCATTTTTTCTTGTGTGATACAGGCCACAAACTCAATAGTTTCAAGGGATTTGATCTTTCATTAATAACAGATGCTACTCCTGGCCTCACCAGAACAACTATTGGTCACAGCAGTATAGAAATCCTATGGATTTCGCTACTGAAGTTATGTTTCCATTTTACAAGACTGCTTGGTGAGAGTCAAAGCAAAAAGTCTTAAGCTATAAAAATGACACCCCTTATCAATGTCATATATCACAGTGCAGGACACATAAGGATCCAGTTTTGCTTATGGGTAAGTAGACCCTTCTTACAGGTCTTGAGTGGGCGACATTAGACAGCTGTTTGGAGTAAGAGAGAAAGTACAGCTTTACATTTCTAGGACCACAAAGATGCAATTTCAACCCCAATTAGGATGCTTCACATCCTCTTAGTTCTGGCCTATCTGGCTCATAAGTCATAGGGTTGGTTGGTACTACTGCTTTTCCTTCTTGCCTCAGACTTCAAATATAGCTTAGCATGGTACTATTACCAGTCATGCCTCTGTTTAAAATCGCGAAAGTTTTGTCACTCTTGGAATTTTTGCATTTTGATTATCTGGGATACTACTCCGTAAAAATTCACCCTGAAAAAAAAAAATATTTTATTTTATTTTTTTTGGCATCCGCTTAGGTTTTTGCGCTTGATTGTACCTCACCTCGGAGCTACTCCGGTCAACACCTCAGCACTTTTAATTCCGAATAAGTCATTGCTTTCCCGGGTCTGTTTTAGGGTTTCTGCAAGCTCGCGACTCCTAGTAAGCAAGCGACCTGACCTTGAATGGAGTAGCTCAACAAATGTAGACTGGGTAGGGGGCCAAGGTGCGCAAAGGGCAGATCTAATTCCTCAAATGCAGACCTTCCTACTCCAAGCCACCCCTGCCCTCTCCACCCACCTGCTGCTCCCTCCCGGCGGCCTACTCCCGGCACCAGCAACCATTAGGAAGCCACGGAGAACTCATCCGCAGGTGAGTTTAAGACCACGAGCGGAAACAGGAAGTACCTGAGCACGCTGTCACCGGGAAGCTGAGGGCGCTGCCTGGAGCGGGAAGTGCTCTCGGGCGGGTGGCGGCAACTGGGCGTGGAAGGCTCAGGCATTGGTCTCACGATTGCGGCCTCCTCCTCAGGGAAGCTCGTTCCGCCCCTACCTCCTCGCCCTCCTCTTCACCCACCCTCATAGGGCCCCGGGCACTTCCGCTGGCTTGGGCGCCAATCCCCGACTTCCCAGAAGGCCCCGCGCGGTCTCCGTGGCGACGTTGATAAACAACCACGCCCGCCGAGGCTGAGGTATGGCAGGGCGCCGCCAGCCGGGGACCCTGAAAGGTAATGAAAGTGGACGTCGGGCAGCCAGGCTCCACAGCCCCCGACCCCATTCCTCCTCAAGAGAATAAGCGTCCAGCCCCTCGATATACATTCACCTGCTTTGCGAAAATAACTTAAGGTTTATTTGCTGAAGAGACAAGGAAGTTGTTTCACCTAGGGGTTCAAGCTTACCTCTCAAGTCGGATTTAGCAGAACCCCAAGTCAGAATGGCTTCCTAGTGACACGGACATTAACCACTCAGTTTCCACCCGCGGTAAATACTTGGCTTTCCCTTTGCCTTCCCCCGCGGGAGGGGTCGCTCCCCCAAGAGATGGTTAGCAAAGATGGTTAACATCTCTTCAAGTTCCCATTCTGCTTTCTTTCCTTCATTTGTCTTTGGGCCACAGTTGATTTGCTGGACACTCCCCTGCCAGGACAATCAAACATGAAAATTTGCATGACAGAAACATAAAACCCATCGGTAAAATTGTCTTCTTTAAATAAAATACTAATCTGATGTTTCGTCCAGGCTTGAGAAGGGCAATACCCCTCCTCCAGATAATGTTAGTAAAATCTGCAGCATCTAAAGAATAGGCCCCTGAAAGGTACCTTCTGCTTGCTTCTCTGACTGGCATAAAAGTGGTGCTTTCTGTATAAACTAAGCTGGGGGGTGGGGGTGGAGAATGTATGGCCTCACCACAGTCTTTTCAGATCAGTAACAATAATAGTTCTCTTTAATGTGGAGAGGCGATTAAAGTCCCCATTTAGTGAAAGACAGAACTCAAGATGGAGGCCCCCAAACTTCGATTTGTGCTGGGGAGGTAGAGCCAGCCGTGTGTAAGCCCTCCCCCCCACCCCGCCCTAATCTCACAAACTCAGCTCTGTCACCCTCACTCCTTTGGGTAACCATGGAAAGTACGCACGCTGCAGCCTGGATCCGAACCTAGGGAGGCGGATGAACTTGGGCGCAGACAAACAGTGGAGTAGCAGGGTTTGGTTGTCCTGGTAGGCTTTGTGGGGAATGACAAGCCCACAGGTCATCATTATAACAATATTTTTTTTTCTCGTTTTGGAATTGTTGCATGTGAAAACCTAATGCTGAGGTGTACATAGTATTCAATGAAAAATCATGTTGCATATAGATTTTAGACAAAAGCAAAGTTTCCAGTAAGACATTTAGCACTTTGATGGAATAAAAAGTGTATTTTGTGAAATAGGCCTCTCATGAAATAGTTCTGCCATTCATAACTGCCATGCATTTTTATAGCTCCTTGAGGAATTATGGTTTCATCTATAATACATTTCTATTCAGCTGGCTTTAAGAAGCAGTCTTGGGTATGAGTTGCATGTTGTTGCTTCTAATCCAAGGACCTTACTCTCATACCCAGTGTGTATAATAGAAACAGAATCAGATTTTGCTTAGGACGAGACGGGGAGAACACTCTGACTTAATACCCCCCACATAGCGAGTCTAGAAAACAAACACCCCACACTGTGATTAAAGTCTCCATGGACGGAACTCAAAGGAAAGCAGAAAATGCTAATTCATGGTTTAGTCCAGTGTCCTGTGAATGTAAGTCAAAGTAGACACGAGGGAAGACAGCATCACAAGGATGTTGATACAATATGTGCGTTAAGGGAAGCCGCGGGCCTGTATTTGGATTATTTTTTAAGTTAACAGACTATGAATTATAAAACAGATACATATTTCAGAAGTGAGTAAACAAAATGGCTGTTGAATTTGTATGTACAAGGAAAGCCCTCTTTCTGTGGGAAAGTGCCTTCTGGAGTTTACAGTACTTTCACCCCACAATACAACACACACACACACACACACACACACACACACACACACACACACACACTAGTTGCTATTATAATACAAGGTACAGTGCAGGTATCACTGCCAAAAGCTTAAGCTTAAACTTTCTCTCTCTCTCTCTCTCTCTCTCTCTCTCTCTCTCTCTCTCTCGTGGTAAACTTGTAGCTGCCTTTAGACACGGTCTGTGGATTTTGCATATTTCCGGCATCGGTCAACACTTCCTGCTTGATTTTTTGACTACCAGCTGGGAAGTCTGACTGTTTTTTCTATGAACAAACAAGGCAGTTTTATCTTGTTTGACGCAATGCTGAAATTTCTAGAGACTGCTAAGCGCATGACTGGATCCACAGCTATTTCCACGAACCCAGCCACCTTGATTGCAAGAAGATATGTTCTTCAACAGAAACTTGGCAGCGGGAGTTTTGGAACTGTCTATCTGGTGTCAGACAAGAAAGCTAAACAGGGAGAGGAACTGTAAGTAATACAATGTTCAGATCTGTGAGTGGCCACAGGCTGGTTTAGAACGTGGAGCCATGCCTGCTCTGTTCTTTATATTAAGCCAGAAACTTTGAAACATAGAAAAGTTCCTTCACTGATATCTCCTTAGATATCCCACCCCTGTTTTACTTGAAGCCACAGGGTTTTGCTCTAAAACTGAGCTACGCTCCCAGCCCCAGATAAGATTATAAAACAACAACAACACTTTTCGGCTCCAAATAAAGTATTCAACTGACCTACAGAAGGTGAAGAGGGTAGATTATGTAAAAGTGATTTTTTAATGTATACCATAGTATCAATGGCAAATCCCACTGACCTTGTTTGTGACTTCCTCAGTGGGAAAAGCTGAGTTCTTCATGATGCCTGTTTTTAGAGATGCTGCAAAATGCAAATAAACAGTAATTCATATGCAAGTTGGATGGGGCGTACTGAAGGAAAGATGGTATTTTCTTTGGCTTCTCTGCAAGAGATCTTCAGAATAGATAGTCAGGAGCTAGAAATGTAAAAACAAAAGGCTCTTCAATGCTTCGGAGTCAGTCAGAGACAGTTGGATGCCTGGGCCTAGCTGGCTACCAGACAATCAAAACTGACAAATTCCTGCTTCAGTGAGAGACCCTGTCTCAAAAACAAGGTGAATGGGAACTGAAGAACAATGACACCTAAGGTTGAACCCTGATCCTTTCTCTTCACACACACACACACACACACACACACACACACACACACGTGCACGTACATGGATATAGAAACAAAGGAAAGGATAATGCACTCGGGAATCTCTTTGCCCCTGGAAGATGAAGTTTCCATCCAGATGCCTGTTTCTTGAGCGAGCATCTGGCTCCCTTCAATTCTTCCTCCTTTTCTCCTTGGATTTTCACGGATGGTTGAAAATTCAGCTTCACAAATGATTTTCTATGTCTTTCTGTGTTGCAGGAGTTATAAAGGTGTGACCAATGGTTCATTTTAAAGATCAGCTTTTGAAATTGCCTCATTGTAGAAGGCTTGAAGAAGTTGTAATTATCTAGCATTCTTAATTTGCAGTCAGTTCCAGCATAGAGAAGGGTGAAAGCTGGTGCTTTTCCGGGTTCTTAGAGCATTAGTTATACCCTGTAAGTTTTCTTACCACTATGACGACATCCCCACAAAGCCACTTAAGAAAGGCAGGTCTGTTGTGGCCCAGGGCCTGAGGGGATGCAGTCCATTGTGGTAAGGTATGGCAGTAGGAGTGGGAAGTGCTGGCCTCATCGTGTCCCCAGCCAGGAAGCAGAGCATCATGGATGTGGTCCTTAGCTCTTACCGTTATCTCTTTATTCAGTCCCGGATCCCGGCCTATCGGGTCTTTCCTCCTTGGCTTAACACCTCTAGAAACGCCTCTGGCCACCCAGAGTGAATGCTAAATTTCTGACAACTACCAGGTGTAATCATTTTCTAAAAGAGAATATTCTATTTCATAATTTCTGTTCATCTTATCATTTAGAATGACTCCCTCCCACCCGTACTGTTGACCGCTGAACCTTTGGTTTATGGGAAGGCTACCTCATTGGTACCCTTTCATTATCCAGCTTAGGGAGTGCTTTGACCTCTGCTACATGTGCTAGACCACAGACAGAGGGACGTGGTGTTATAACAGGCAAAGATGAATGCTTACCAAGAAGATTTCTGGGTTATGACTGCACTCTCAGTGCATCAGAGCTCATCTCCCTAATGCTAAATGTTAAAAGAATTATCTCAACTAGCCCCTGGACTGAAATGGGATGGAAAATACTTATTATTGGCTCCTATGAAATACAGGTTTATGTAATTATACCCTTCTAGATACAATCAACTTGACAAAATAGACCAAAGCTTCTGACCCTCGCAACGAAGTTCTGCAGTTCATCATTTTTCCACTTGGGGGCACCATATCATCATTGACACTTTGTTTATTCTGGGAGCTTTAATTACACCATGAATGTAAATACCGCACTTCTTCACGCTTTTATTGCTCTCCCAGCTAGCCGTGGGATAAAAATAAAAACTGTAGGCATTATGCTTGATTAGTGCATGTTTAGAGAGACATTCCTTTTTTAGTTGTTGCAGTAATAATAAGGTTGAAGTGTTACATTAAGTAGTGAATGAGCAAGCTGTTTCTTCCATTACGACATTAAGCATCAAGATATTTAGAAACCTGTTTTGGGGAACATTTTCTTTCATAATTATAGATACTCTGATCTAATGGTTGTAATTATGTTCTAAAAGAATAGCTGTAATATTTCAGTTTATAGTTTCATTAAGCTGCCAAAGCATATTAAAAAAAAAAATCCCAAGGATCTTTTGATACATAAAATTATATGTATCTACAGGACACCATGTGATATTTCAGTATATATACACATTGTATAATGTTCAAACCAGGATAAGCATATCTCTTTCCTCAAATATTATCGTTTCTTTGTGGGGAAGACATTAAAATTCTGCGCATACAGTGGTCATATATTGTCATTAACGTATACATTATCTGCATGCACTGTCATTAATGTACAGTCACCTTACTATAAAACAGAACTTATTTCTCCTACTTTTCATAGTCACTAGTAGGCTGTCCTTGTCCATCCACCCTTCCCCTTCTTTCTCTGGTAAGCACTATATGGCTCTCTTATCTCCTTCGCTCTCTTTTCTAGTTCTGAGAAATGTCTAGATTCCACATTTGCGGGAGATTCTTCGGTATTTACCTTTCTGTGTGGGACCTAGACTTAGCATAACGTCTTTCAATTCTATCCACTATGCTGTAATGACAGGACTCCCTCCCTTTAAGATTAGGTAGTATTTCATTATATATGCCCATTGTACTTTATTTCTTTTTTTAAAAATTATTACAGTTTATTCACTTTGTATCCCAATTGTAGCCCCTCCCTCATTTCCCTCCCATCCCCACCCTTTCTCCTTCTTCTCCTCCCATGCCCCTCCTGCAGTCCACTGATAGAGGAGGTCCTCCTCTCCTTCCCTCTGACCCTAACTTATCAGGTCTCATCAGGACTGGCTGCATTGTTTTGCTCTGTGGCCTGGTAAGGCTGCTACCCCATCAGGGGGAGGTGATAAAAGAACCAGCCACTGAGTTCATGTCAGAGACAGCCCCTGTTCCCCCTACTAGGGAACCCACTTGGAGACTGAGCTTCCATGGGCAACATCTCAGGTTGATTCTGTTTCCGAATTATTAGGAACACTATTGCAGTCAACATAGGAGTACAGATGTCTCTTGGAACCGATTTTCCTCTGGTTTTGTGCTTATTGATGGATGGGATTGCTGGATCACAGGATAGTTCTGTTTTTAATTTTTCTGAGGAATTTCTCACTGTTTTTCATAATAGCTGTACAAATTTACATTCCCGCCTGCAGAGTGTGTTTCTCTTTCTCTGTATCTACACAGCACTTGTTTTCTTTTGTGTTTTTGGTCATCACCACACTGAATATAACATAGTAGTGTCTTATTGTGGCTTTAAGATACATTTTTTTTTAGTTATTATTGATGTCGAGTACCTTGTCATGTATCTGTCAGCGATTTGCAAGTATTCTTTTGAGAAATGTCTCTATCTCTCATTGTGTTAAAGACGAAAAACTTTCAAATCCTCAAAGAAATGCCCTCAAGCTCATGCTCCAACCTCCAAGGCCCTTCTCTTCTTGGGGAATTTTTGGCTCTGTATTCTGTGTTCAAAGCTGATTTTTCACTCAGTCAGCACATAAAATGGAGGAGAAATCAAGAGACAGGAGTAGTTGTTCGAATGAACTAAAGAGTAACAACAGAAAGAAGTGATAGTAGATCTGGAGAGTACGTGAGAACAGCCAGTCACCAAACTGATCAACTAAACAAAGCCAAGCTTAACTCTGGCTGAACAGAAGACTCGCATTTCCAAAGTAAATCATGCCACTAGATCCTGACTGGCCCAGGTCTGACACAGGTCTGTAAATTCGTGAGCACCCAGGAGGTCTGAGTGTGCACCCAGCAAGGAGAGGATCCAGTTTGGTGCAAGCTGCAGACACTGAGTTTATAACCATAAGGAAGAAGTTGGGATATTTACCTCTCTGGGGATTAAAAAGTTTTGGTTGCTGGGACATAACTCAGTTTCATCTGAGCTTGCAGGTTCAATGTGAGGCAAGGTTTCCTGGGAAAAGTTATTTCATATGAGGCCTGAAATATCTGTTCGCGGTAGTTGTCTTCATGAGTTACTGGGTGTCAGAATTGTGAGGAAGGCTGTAAACGTTAACTTATTTGCCTGGTTCAGTTGTCTCTCTGGTTCAGTTGCTGCCTCCTCCTGCTAACCTAGTCCTTGTTCTGGAAGCTTCTAGCCTCCGTACAATCTAACCTAGGCCTAGAATGTTTTCACCCTCTGAGAATTGCTGCTTAATAAGCTCACCCTTTTTTGTTCTTTCTGAGCTCTGGACTGGCTGGTTCAATTCAGCTGTTCTGGCTCAAACTCCTCTCCCAGCTGACTTATTCAATCTGGCTTTTCTCTTGGCTCCTAAATTGCTCTGCTTGGCTTCAAACTAACTCCAGCAATGCCTTCTAATCTTCTGGCTCCTTTTCCTTCTCTGCCTCATTTGGTCTTTACCAGAGTTCTCTCTCTGCAGTCTGTCTATTACTGTCCAGGTAAAAATGCCTCCTTTCTTTGGAGCTTCCCTTAAGTAGCTTCCCTTTCTTCTCTCTGCTCATGAGAATTGGGCTTATCCTATTCTGTCAGATCTTTCTCTGACTCGTCATCTTTCAAACATAGGTGCTCCTTTCTACAAACTATCTTTACCTTCATTGTTTGGGATTAAAGGCATGTACCGCCACACTGGACCTAAGCTTTTCTTTATCTGAAACCTGCTCTAAGCCAGGCTGACCTTGAACTCAGTGGCAGGGGCTCGAGAACTTGCAGTGCTGGGGCTGTTCCTGGTTTTGGGAGGAGTACACTTTGAGGTGTGCTGGACTCTGCAGCTGTGGGGGAACAATTCCATCA